GGCAAAATATAAAAAAAGGCTTTCGAAACGAAATATGAAATAGAACTGCATTTCATGCCTTTTTTATCTATCGTATAATATATCTTTCAAAATACAGTATTTGTGTTATTAAATTACGTATAGCGTTGTGACATTTTGTAAGAAATGTCAAATTATAGCGTAATCAAACGAACAGACTACGGTAAAATGGAAACAATTAGAAATCAAAGAGGTGAATTGAATGATACAACGTCAAGTGGTTCATGTTGGATACGTGGAATGCGTTATATTATATTGATTTCTACACTGATATGCCTTGCATCAATTATGGCCAATATTGTTACATTCAATTTTACCGTTCTTTGTATATCGCCTAATTATGGCAAAGAATTACCACACGTAAATAAGGTTAGCCTTTTATTGTTTTTTTTTTAAATCATTCAAAAACTTAATTTTTATACTTTACTTAATTTACTTTCAATTCGTTTTAAATGTTTTCATTTGATGATTGTAAAAATTGGTGTTCTCGGGTAAGAAAAAAATTTATTTGAGTATATATTAAAATAATTCACAGAGGACTATGTGGAACCGGTTTTGTAATGAAAGTTTCATTCTGATATATTGTAAGGAATATACTTTATTGAAAATTCAGGCATGCCTAATAAATGATTTGAATAATTTAATTTAAATTTACTCAGCTTAATTTATTTTTAGTACATTTTAGACGAAACACGAAAATATTTAACAGATTACAATTTGAAAGAAATAAACAAACAAATAAGCACATTCTTAAATAAGTAAGAAATAAATAAATGATGATAATTATGTGAAATTGCTATGCATTTCGGATATTATCCAAAAATTTTTATCCAGAAATCAAATTTTATTTCATTTGATTAAGTATTACACTCAATTGATCAATTCGTTTCTTCCTTTTAATTTGAATTTGTCAAAAGCACATTTTTTCGTGAAAATCTTAAATTAATTCAACTAAACAAATATTTTTTTGCCAAAGTAAAAACTGATATGCCAAAATGTGCCAAATTCATATTACATTCCTTCTATGAAAAAAAAAAGAAAAAATTCATTTGTTGACATTCTTTCAATTTTTCCGACTTTTGTCAAATATAGACACTGTTCAACTTCTGATAATAGTTGCAAGGAACAAAAATAAATTATTTGATTTCCTCCTAAAAAATTGGAACTTCATTTCACATGTCAACAATTTACTTTGTTGTATGCAACAAACCAACAATTTTTTTTTACCAATAAATTATTAGCATTTTCACCATGCCTAATAATTATTCATGAAGATATGTAAATACATGCCTATACTATGAAATATATTCAGGTCAAGCACAATTTAAATTCGAATACATCAAAATTAAAAGTAAATACGTATAAGCTTCCAAGGAATTAAAAAATTTTAAATTAACAATATGTATTTGTATATCTTCATGATTTTAAATTTAATAACGCATATTTATATATCTTCATAAATAATTGTTACAGATATATAATAATGCTAGTGGGCAAAAATTAATGTTACGAACAAGTCATTGTTTTTTTTTTTCGGTTTATTAACGCGCAACTTTTTAAAGTTAAATATTTGAAATAAAAACTGAAAGAATAAAAAAGCAACTGCTTACAATTAATTTGCGAAGAAATTTAATAATTTCAGGAAGAATGCCAATTTTATGTTTATTTACCAATGTCTGCACGAAATTAACTCGATCAAATAATTAAAAAATTCAAGTGTAATCAATTCAACTGAATTTAAAAACGTGTGGTAGATTTTTTATTTTTTTTTAGACGGTGGATAGTGCAAAGCAAGAGGGATATTCCAAAGATGACAGAACCATTATATTTAGTTCCGCAGCAGTTGGTGCCCTTTTGACTGTAATATTCGTCACACAAGCTTTACAGATAATATATCTTCTCATTTTTTTTTTTTGAAAATTAAAAAATTCTTTTTTACAAAAAACGGCATTTTAAATTTTCAAAAAATGACTAATGCTCTCAACTGATATGTAACATTTTTTCATTATGAAATAATTCAAAACAATTGGTTTGAAGCAAAATTTTCACCTAATTTCAATTTAATCAAACAAAATTACTAATATAAATTTAAAATTACAATATATCATCGTATCTGTCATGAACAATTATTAGATCATATTATTGATTAAATATATTTTTCTGTTTTTTTTTTGTAATTAATTTTTTCATTCTAAAATATGACATATTTTTTTTTTAGTATTTCGGACTTCGACTCATATTTTTTATCAGTGGAATGTTAACAGCTATAGCAACAGCGTTGGTACCACTTGCTGTAGCTCAGGGTAGTATCATATATTTCGTTATCCTAAGGGTTTGTCAGGTTTGTTTACAGTTATTCGAGAATTACTCAAATGTTTTCACCCTTTATTTATTTGTTTTTATTTCAGGGTATAAGTTTTACAATATGTATGCCAACTACTGGTGCTGTAACATCGAATTGGGCATCTCTGAAACAGAACGGTTTATTCATTTCAACATTATCATCTTTTAGTCAGTTAGCTGGTGTTTTTACAATGTCTACTTCTGGTAAGGTATGAAAAAGTTTTATAGAAATTCAGAACTGAATTTTAAAAAAAAAGTTTACTGTCACTATTATTATTGTTATTATGGATTATTCTGATTAAATCGTGATTATCAATGTACCGAGATAATTGAAGGATAAAATGAATATTCAATTTTTATTAATATTTCTTGATAAATAAACAATTTAATTTGTAGTTATGTGAATCAAGTTTTGGTTGGCCAGCTGTCTATTATCTACATTCTGCAATATCATTTATTTCATTTGGTTTATGGGTATTGTTGTATAGAAATCAGCCAGGTTTTTCATTTCATATCTTTTTTACATGATTCAGTTTCATAGTTTAGTTGAAAATTCACTTTTGCATTTATCCAACATCTAACACTGTTGTTGATTAAATAAGAATATTTCCATTTCATGAACGTTTTACAGATGAATTTTATCGAAAGATTTTATTTGAAAAGTTTAAATTGGCCGATATATGTGCACTTTCTATAAACTAACAAAAATTTCCAATTTTTAAAAAACAATCAGGTTGTTGAAATCGTTGAAACTTCCAACTATGATCATTTAGCTGTCATTTATATGCTTTTTCTTTTGCTAAATATAGTTAGTCATAAATGGATTATCATTTCCAGATGATATAATTTCAGATAAATATTTCTCCTATACAATGCTTTCTTAGATTGTGGCCAATATAATCGATTAAATTGTAATAATATAATTTTTAACAATTATTGAGTTGATTTCTAAATAAGGAATGTAGAAGGAACTGAAAAAATTTTGAAAATTTTGCAGTTAAGCATCCGTTAGTAAATCAAATGGAATTGGAAAAAATAAATCGTGGTCGATCAGCGGCAACTTTAATATCAGCAGCAAAAAAGCACCAGAAAATACCGTATTTAGCAATTTTAGCTACACCTGCTATTTGGGGTATTTGGGCAGCAGCTATCGGTGATCTGATGACATTGCAAGTTTGTCTAAAATTGCTGAAAGAATTAACAGCGAATATTAATTATTATATTGATCAAAGAAAAGAAAAAACTTTTTCATTACAGCGCTAAAGTATGAAGCAAATAAATTTAAAAATTAAAAATAAATTAATAGCTGCATGAAACATATGGAATATATCTGATATCTGACAACTTACAGATATTATTTTGATGAAATTATGTATGAATTTTAGGCAAAATATAAAAAATAGCACTATGCCAATTAGCAATCAATAAAAAATGTTGCATTATTATTGAAATTAGATGGATTGATAAAATCTCATACTTAAATGATATCTAAGATATTCTTATTCCTTATAATTATGCTATTCCTTGTAATAATTGTTTGTTTATTTTTCTAGCTAATACATACATTCAGTCCATTATATATTAGAGAAATTCTCGGATATTCGGTGGAACATACCGGTTTCTCGGCAGCTCTTCCAGTGTTAGTCCAATTTCTTTTTAAGGTCAGATTTTTTTTTGATTGATTAGAAAAATTAGTTTTTTCATCCTTCAAATATAATTTCCATCTTTTCACAGCAGAGCAATAATTTTTACAGATTGTTGCTGGCTATAGCAGTGATAAATTGCGCATCTTATCAGAAACTGCTAAATTACGCTTGTATAATACTATAGCACTTGGAGTTTCAGCAATTTTCCTCATTATTTTGGCTTTTTTACCTCAAGGTAAATCAATTTGAAAATAACTTTCTATTGTCTATTTAAAATTTCTCTCGAAATATTTGGAATTCTAGCGAAAAAATCAAAAAAAAATGTTGGACAGTTTGAAGATTTGAAGGTTAATTGTATCATTTAATCAGAGAATTTATCAACTTTCAAGAGCTGCTCAATATATTATCATTAATTTCTTTCTTTAAAATAAATATTAAATATTTATTATTGAAGAGCGATTAGAAAATTTTTAAATATTAAAATTTAGGCTATCCATTAACTGGAGTCATCTTGCTAACGTTAGCAACATCGATGTATGGTTTTAATGGAGCTGGTTTTAACAAGGTTATAAACAATTTTATTATTAAATACTTCATTAATTAGTAATCATGCTTATTAAAGATCTGTTAGAGTTAATATTTTACTTTCTTAATTATAGCTACAAATAATTTTGTTGTTACATTGTAGCGAATAATTAATCTGCTCATTTATCAACTAACATTTATTAATTTTAATTAAATTTTGTTGAACCATTTTTTTAGTGCGCAACATTGGTATCAAGACAATACAGTGCTTTTGTTCTCGGGCATATTCAAATTCTTTGGTGTATTGCTATGCTGCTATCGCCAATTTTGGTTCGTTTATTGAAAAATTAAAACGGATCAACGTTGGAATTATTTATTATATTATAATGTTATACTTGTTACTTCATATTTCTATAAAAGTTATCTATATCAAAGTATATAGTAAATTTTAACCAGCACTTTTCTTAATATTATCGCAAATGATCAATTATTACTTCAGTCATTTATAATTCTAAAAGTTATTCATTTTTCAATTTATCAAAATTTGACCTTCTTGACAACCTGTAATCCTAAAAAGTACTTACATATATTATTTATTAGTTTAAATTTTTATTCCTTTTTTTTTCTATACAGGTAAATGCATTGCTTGGTGAAGGAACGATTTATGATTGGCGATTCATATTTGTGCTGCATGCATTCTTATCAATTATCACCAATATATTCTTCTGCATTGTAGCCGCTTCTGATGCCGCATGGTGGACAGATGATGAACGTGTCACAGCACGTATCAGAAGTGGTGATTCATTTTGGTGGTGGAAAGGTGAACCACAGAGAGTCTAAAATAATTCAATCATTTGAAATTATCGGTTGTATCATCGTAGTATAAAATAGAAATGAAATATTTCATAATTTCACATACACCTAAAAAAAATTGAAGACGTTGATTGAATATGTCAACATAATATCAACAGTACACCGTGATCTTAATCATTATCAACTGATAGTAATTTGATCATATATGAATCAAATCAATTGGATAAATCAAAGACAATCATTGATCAATAACTTCATTGATTAAAATACAAATAGTATGGAACTCTTTTTTTTTAAAAAAAAAAGCAAAGAAAGATTTTTATGACATATAAATAAATCAAAAAAAGCCGTAATAATTTAAAAAACTGATAATGACAGTTTAGAAAATATTATCTCTATTTCTACCTTGTTTGCTATGTTTAATAAAATATCATTAATCTCAATTTTTTCTATCTTGTTTGCCATTCTTACTTTCGTTTTTTTTGTCGATTTTTTCAAATTATATAATTTGAAGAGGATCGAATTTTCCCAATCGATAGTTATTTACCACAAACAAACAAATAATATAAAATGTTTTTCAATAGCTATGCAAGAGGATATTTCTTTTTTGTGCAGATACGCTTGGGAAAGAATGGTTTTTTACATCATTCAGCAAATTTTTTTTTTTTTTGTCAGAAATTATTCGCACATTACAAAATCTTTCCTTTTCAAAACTTATGCAAGAGGATATTTCAATTTATGCAAATTTAAATCACGCCGAGTTTTTTTATTTTTTATTTTTTTGGAATAACGAATTAGTGACATTTCAAGAGTGACATCATAAGATAAATTACTAATCTTTCTTCAAATCAATATCTTTTTTTTATCTTCCCCGCATGCTTTTATTACTTAAACCCTCTCGTTCTACACTTATCTCCTTTCATCATCCGAAATACAATACTTAAATATGAATATTTGCAATGGATTATTAAATATAAACGAGGTCACCTTAATATCAATGAGGCATACCGGGATGATCCGTTCTTAATTTATTGCCTAACTATGTTATCTAAGTATACCATCAATCTTAAATTTTAAAATTTGAATATATATGATCATACATCTGAAAATTTCATCTCAATCGATTCAGCGCATTTTCCATTGCTCACAACGGATTATATTATTATCGAATTTCTATAGATTTGAGAAATCCTGGCCGATGATATCCTTTCCCTAATTAGAATTATTAATTTTTTTCTGCATAAATATTAATTAATATCTTTTTCTTTCTCCCTTTCTCTCTTCGTTTTATAGGATCTTTTTCCATTTTCATTGGTATAATGAATAACTATTAGAGGAAAAGGAGCTGTATGACAGTGACGATTATATCCGGGAAAAATAGTGATTATTCTGGTTATTCATTACCTTAATATATTCACAGTTTTCGGATTGATTTCTTAGAAATCTATCAGATTTCCGATTTGTCCACGCGGTTGAATGTGGCATCAATTTAATAATACAAAGATTTCACTCTTGAAATCTGTTCAGATTTTGCTGGGATATATTGTTGCTGGAGATGCGGAATGAGTTGAGTCCCTTTTGAGAGCACAATTTTACTGACTTACTAAATGGTTTAAAATTTTCAAACTTTCCATTTATCCACATTTATTTCATTCTATGTACCATCTCATTTTAAAATTACATTGTGAAATATTTTTTAAGGGATTAAATTGCGGAACACGTTTCACTCGTATGCTAAAAGACAAACGAATGTGGCATTTGGAAATTAAAGGAGTAAAATTTTATGAGTTTAAAGAACAAAAGTGATAAAATGAAATTGAAGTAGAAAGAGAACCGAATTGAATTTCAAACATTATTTCCTTTTGATTCGTTTTTTTTTTTTTTAAATTTAAAATAAGGGATAAAACTACAATACACATTCATATCCATAGAATATATTAGCTACGGAAATGTATTTTTTCGAACGATCAGTTGAAATTTTTTTCTGCTATAAATTTAAATAATTTCAAGATTTTGAGAAAGCTTCTTTCAATTTTTCAGAAAATTTTAAATAATGAAACTTTCCACATTAGATTAATTATTTACAGAGATTAATGGGAAAATTCGGAAAAAAATTTGCTTGAAATACTTTTGATTTGAATTGTTTTTCTTTCAACAATATCAATTCTAATTTTGGTTATTTAGTTCGCTTTTTCTTTTTTATTTCAATTTACCCATTTAAATGACATTGTCCAATTGAATTTTTCCTGAAATTAATTTTTTTTCCAAAATAAAAAATTGATTTGTCGTGTTTCCACTGAAAAAAGATTTTATCTCCGACTTATATTAGTTACCCGAAACAGATGCATTGCATTTCTTGGTCAATTGTTCGTTTTTTTTTTCTTTTTTTAATATCCAATCTCCGACAGTTTCATTTTTCGTGGCCAACAAAACGAGAGAATGTTGGCCATTTTTATTTGCTTTTTTTTTCACTGCGCAAATTTATTTTCATTTTTCTTTATCTGATATCGTTTATTGATTTCTTTTTTCATCTTTTTGAATTTATTTAAATTCATTTTTAAATTATGAAGTATTTCATTCTTTTTTTTTTTAAAATTTCTGTGGCTTTCACACTCTTCTTATTCATTTGTTTACATATGCTCAAATTGATTAAGTATGTTAAACGTATAGGTGAATAATATTATAGATATTAAATTAGCCAGAAATTTTCAATCATTAAAATTAAAATATCATTTTGTATTCTGAGCATTCTGAATCGAAAAACTATTCTTCAACACTTTTACACAAATTAAAATACGACTTGAGAATTCTTTTTTTTTTTATCGCAAACTTTCAAGTACTGTAGAAATAATTGAAATGCAAACGAAAAAAACAAAAAAGAGAAAAAGACTGAATGATTAAGAAGATTTTTCTTGTATATTATTTTCAATATACTGTAAAATATAAAATCAACTGTCACCATTATTATCATCACTGTCAATATGGATCAAAATTTCACGTTGTATGCATAAATTTATATGTTATAATATATATTATTAAGATATAATCAATGTAGGAGAGAATTTATCATCTGGCGATTTTCAGATGTAACACCCACTTTCCCCCCCACCATCCTTCGGCATCTTCCACTTCTTTTCCGTCCTGACATTGGTCTCCTTTGCGAACTATGTCAACAACTCTATACCTATAATTTTAATTTGATTTCGTTCAGTGAAGGATTGTAGGATGAGTTCATATTTCTTTCATCATTTCAAATGGCTATCTTTATAAGACTAGTTTGTTGTTGCCATTATTCAAATTGCTCTATTGAGTTTCTTAAAAATAAATTTTTTCATGCTAAACATTGTTTTAAGTTTAATTCCATTGATTTTTTTTTCCTTTCAATCAGTTC